AGGCATGGAATTCTTGGAAAACAGACTTGAAATCACTTCATGATTTGAGAATTCCAAGATGTGTGAAACCACGTGACTTTAGGAATGTTGTTGCGACAGAATTGCATCACTTCTCTGACGCAAGTATGACCGGTTATGGACAGTGCTCCTACCTCCGATTAATGAATGAACATGAACAGGTACATTGTTCTCTGCTAATGGGTAAGGCACGGGTTGCGCCAATCAAATCCGTCACCGTTCCGAGATTGGAACTAACTGCTGCACTTACATCAGTCAAAGTTGGACAATTCTTGAATGAGATCTCGGCGAAGTGCAGACCTTCTACTGGACTGACAGTCAAATAGTGTTGGGCTACATCTCAAATGACTCTCGAAGATTTCATGAGAACGTAGCCAATCGTATCCAACAGATCAGAGACAAAACGTCACCTGAACAGTGGCATCATGTAAGTTCATCTGACAACCCTGCTGATTGTGCATCCAAAGGGTTAACCGTCAACAAACTGTTGACATCCAAGTGGTTAAGTGGCCCAGACATCCTTTGGGAAAAGGAGATTCCATCGCCAGACTCTGCTTCTGAATACTTCGTGGCAGCTGGTGACCCTGAAATGAAAGGAAAGAAATCTGTGGTACTTACCTGTAAGACAGATGAGAATAGCCCTCTGTACTCAATACTTCAGGATGTTCACAAAAAGGTAAATCTTATAAAAGGCAAAACGTCAATATAAGAGAGTACAAACAAAAGCTAGTGAGCAGAATTACAAATAGCAAGTGAAGATTTACAAAAAAAACCATGAATAAACATATATCAAAACATAAAAAGAAAAACATTCTCCTGAGGAATTTGGAAAAATATTAACCCCCTAAGCTCATGAAAGAGGGTTAAAGAAGTGAACCTTGATGTTGTTTATAGTTTATTTTAACAAAAAATATCTAAATTATCAATCTGATAATAGATTTACTGACAATGAAGACGATCTTCATGCTGACAGTCATAATAGTACAGATATTTACAATAACCACATCAAAGTCGAAGAATTGCAGTCAGCTATAAAACGACTAAAACGCATCAAAGCAGCAAGTATTGAATATATTGAAAATGAATATCTGATCGAATCTGAAAGTTTATTGGATAACGTGACACGTCTGATGGAATCCCTGAAGCATGGCTAGAAGGCGTAATTAAACCGAATTGTAAGAAACAAAAGTGATGCCCTTGATCAAAACTCATACAGACCCATTACAATTCTGATCTGCTTTGGCAAACCTTTTACGAGTATTTTAAAAAATCCACTTGAAAACATCCTAGAATGTAATAATACCCTTAACCCATCGCAAACAGGCTTTACAAAACAGTTATCAGCCATCGATATTATTTTCATTATCAATACGTTGATACACTTAATTAAAAACTCTAAAAGAAAATTATACTGCTTATTTTTGGACTTCACAAAAGCCTTTATATGAAGACTCGGGCTATGGAAGATATTGCTTTATAATGGCATTAACGGAAGAAGTTTAAAACTGGTAAACAATATGTACTCAAATACACATCACGTGTTTTGGTTAGCAGTAATACGTCAGATCCTTTCCCGAGTTATGTTGGCGTACGACAAGGGGGAATATTATCCCCATTACTGTTCTCAGTTTATGAAAATGATCATGAGACATTTCTAAATGAACAGCAGTGTAATGGCTGCAGTTTACGAGTTGACGGTGATATTACTTTTCTGTATGTTAAATAATTACTTCTGCTTTACACTGCTGATACTGTTCTTTTCGGTGAGAGTCCTGATTCCTCATGGGAGTCCACACAATGCATATTTACCGCATTAGATTGAATTATCAGTTAACAGTGTTGAGAGTAAAATTGTTATATTTGGGTCTTGGGCTTCGAAAGGTAAAATTGTGAAATGTGTATGCGGTGAAAATGAAGTCGTCAGTGATTACAACAACATGGGAATTACGCTTCATAGAAACCGGCGTCTATTAAGTGCAAATGTTTGTCAGAAGATTGTTCAAACGCGATGTTTTCCTTGCTCCAAAAAGCACGATGTATCCATCTTCCACTCGACTGTTTGTTTTCAGCCTTCGGTGTATTGGAATCCCATATGACTGCGAAACATGGGGTTATGAGCATTTCGAAATCATTGAGACATTACAATATAATTTTTTCAAAATACCAATAAGAATTAGGCACAGTACCCCAAACTTCATGATTTAAGGCGTAAGTGGGAGAATGTTACTTCGTTTAAAGGTATATCTGAGAATAATAAATGTCTGCCATAAAACACCAACTAGAAGTTCTCACACTTAGTTTATCAATATATTTATCATGATTCAAGAACTAGTGGAAATCATAACAAGTGGTTAGAATGTATAACTAATATATTGTAGTGTTGTGATTTATGTTCCGTGATGTATAATCCTTATTCAGTTACGACTTAGTGACTTACAAACCGTGTCGAAGATACTTTAAAGGACCAGTTTCTTGAAGAGTGGCGATGCAATATCATATCTAGTTCTCAAGGCAATCTAAGTATATCGAAATTGAGCTCTCCTGTGTAAAAATACCACTCACTTAACCAAAACATATCTAAGTAAGATTTAGAACTTGTAATCATAGTTGTCCGGTAGAAACCGCTAGATGAAAAAAAAAACTCGCTTGAGAAGAACGAACATGCCTTCTATGTACCCCCGATATCATTATTTATTAAATGTGAATATGTTATGGCTCTCAATACATCCATGAATATTATTATTCGTTCCCCAATGCCCATAAATTGGCTAGACTATTTTCCAACAACAGCATTAAACACTTACAATATTTATGTAAATTTTACTCTATACTAATGAATTAGTTCTAAAACCCTTTATCCTAATGTTAATTTAAAATGCAATGTGTGAATACAATGTCTTAAATTGTTCTATATGTAGTTATCTAATGTTAATTATATATTGTACCCTTGTTCAACCTTGGATGGTTTTGAGTAAATAAAATGAATCTGGATCTGAATCTGATAATGTGATCCATATATGCATGTAAATATGACATCGTAGGCGGGTAGTAAACAGATGCGTTATGGGTATATGTGTCATAGGTTCCAGGATACTGGTCCTCTCGTTGATGTATAACATGTTTATAGAATGAACAATTGATGCGATTAGATCAAGTCTTATTCAGCCGTATGGTGAACATGACACATACATGACTCGGCAGTAAGGCTGTGTATTTCCACAGTGATATGATGACTGAATACAGGTCAGGTGGCCGTTTAGTACCATGGACCTCAGTATGCTTGTGCTCGATACTTCCCTTCCGAAATGCTTTCTTATCAAATGCTGCGGAACTGTATATAGTCAGGGATATAGCCATACATCACAACATGCATCATTTCACGCGTCTCGGTGAGATGTTTAGAGATTATCACAGCCGCCACGAAGCCATGCGGGTAAAGAGTCCCCTCAACATTAAACACAAAATCGTTTTGTTGTGTGGCAAATGCGATAAAATGTGTTTGTGACACGAAGAACTAGGTCAAGTGCTGGACAAATGTTTGCGTTAAATCACGTACGAATCACATATTATGCCTGTAGAGAGATTGGGACAACCTCTTCTTTTTTTCAAGTAAGAATCACATATAATACTTGTAAAGAGACAGACACACCTCTACTTTATTTTCAAGTAGGAATCACATATTATGCCTGTAGAGAGATTGGGACAACCTCTTCTTCTTTTTTCAAGTAAGAATCACATATAATACTTGTAAAGAGATAGACACACCCCGTCTTTATTTTCAAGTAAGAATCACATATTATGCCTGTAGAGAGATTGGGACAACCTCTTCTTCTTTTTCAAGTAAGAATCACATATAATACTTGTAAAGAGATAGACACACCGCTACTTTATTTTCAAGTAGGAATCACATATTATGCCGGTAGAGAGATTGGGACAACCTCTTCTTTATTTTCAAGTCGGAATCACTCACTCACTCACTTTCACTGAGATTTCAAACATTGTCAGCTGGGAGATACCAATTCACATTGGTACATCCCTCAAAGTGTTGGAAAATTCAATTTAAAGCAACTATTTTTCAACTTCCTTTTCTCAGGAGACGCAATAGGAAGCAAAATATCTGATAACATTTAGTGAGCTCTAATGCATTTGTTATTAATATGGTTCGGCAGATAATATTAAATACTGTCCGTCAGAAGCTGACACGGTTAGGGGAATACATATCAGCACAACGTGTTGCGCCTTGGACCTGTTTCTGCAGGTCACTTAATCAGGCATGTGTACGCAAATTCATTTTAACTTTTAAATATCATGATGCGTTGTCAGATTGGAAATGTACTTGAAAAGGGCAGTTGCTTAAATTGACATGCAAACAATAACGTATCTAACTGAATGATGTCAGGCATAATTTATCACGAAACTCAGGCACGCTGAATGTGCGACCGAATGTTGAGTCACGTCAATGCACGAACACCGGGATTCAAACTCAGTATCTTGCCCATACAGACTATTAACTATCTATCTACTATCAGGGAGTTACTATCGAGGTGATTGTAATGTTTCGAATCAGATAATTAAAAAAAAATTGTATTATGCAATGGGCGTTTGCTGCACATACAGTGCCATTTGCTAGATGTGCGTGAAGCATACATCCTGACTACAGTGGTATGAATCGCATAGGGTTTCAATGTCGGAATGTTCCAGTTCGTCCATTCGTCATATCATTTTTATCGGGTGTTATTTTCCGGTTTAGATTATAGGTCTGCACGCGAGGTGACTTTCTCTGTTTGTCCTTGGATCATGGCCTTGGATGGCCCCACTATCCATCACCACGGACTTTTCAGAAACGAGATGTCAGACACCGCAATGACCAGACTTTTCACTCTCTCTCTCTCTCTCTCTCTCTCTCTCTCTCTCTCTCTCTCTCTCTCTCTCTGAATCTGTATAAGTTCTTGCATCAAATAATCTGAATAGTGAATACTCACAGTAGATCGCCTATTCGCCTGTGGTAAGTTTCTCAACACTGCCCGGCTAAGAACTGAACGTGTTCTGTGTAGCAGCTGTATGGATAGTCTCATCAACGAGTAGGGGTATTCACATTTAAATCATTTTAAAGTGGTTGCGGCCAAAGTCATGGATCATTGAAAACAAAACAAGTATACAAGTATACTTTAAACCTGGTACTACCCTGTCATTGTATTGTTTGGGAAGTAGGCCTGGGTTTGATACAGACGAGGGGTCACAGGCCGGTGGCTACTGTTCAGTTTCACTTACCCAGAGCTATGGAAGGGCTAAGAGTTATGCTTGAGTGATTGTGCAATGCTTGTTGATTTTCCAAGGCACACACGATTTGTCTAAAACCGTCAGTCGACGCTAAATACAATCACAATTTGAAATCTATTCTGAACTAAAGTCTTAATTCCTTTATAACATGGCTCGTAGGAGATTATCTGACTAAGAACCGTGGCGAATATATGTTGGTCATCACTTCGGTTACCACAATTCGGTTAAAAGCAGAGTGACACAGAAACATCGGCAAACTAATGAGGTAAGGGACAGCCGAAGGTCTGGACGGCCTCGTGTGATGTTGGTACGCGAAAGACGCGACTTGATACGCTTGATATGGCGATGAGCCTTAGCCACAAGCACCTGTCTGAAGGAGGCCTGGAAGCCCCAAAGACAATTTTCATCATCAATAGCCGGTCAACTCGCCACTTTGAAACCAACTTGGCACAACTGTCCGACATCAGACCCGTACAGAATAGGTGTGTGTCGGAAAGCAGCCCTTTGATTGGTCGATGTCATGTCTGCCAGACCAGATGTTTTGTTCTGATGATTACTGTGAGACCATGGCGTGAAACATTAGCCTGCGAAGGAAAATAAAGTCACGTACCAATTTGGTCAATCATACTCACAATGACATGTCCGCCAATATTATGAATATCACTTTCTGAAATTTCATGATTCTTATCTTTGGTTATCGACAATGACTTACTATTTCAGAAAATAGCACAGGTTCATGTTTCTGTGTCCTAAATTTGGAACCAGCCTACAGGTTTTCACACATCATGATCAAAATAGCAGGGGTTGTTTAATCTCAGCTGGCAGCCAAGAGAAACCTTACTGTAGTTTAAAAACCAAAAACGATAGATTCATGAAGTAAATTGTGTTGACAAGATCAAAATCTCAACGAAATCAGCATTTAAAAAGACGGTCATACAGAATGCGATATTGGCATGACAGTTGGCCGAATTGAGGCGGGGTAGCAAAAACAAGCTTTCAACGTAATGGACAAAGGGCACATGTATCTGAAATAGCTCATGTCAATGACACGTCACATTAATAGAGTGTATGACCACCCCCTCCTACAAGACACGCAAAACCTCTCCGTCGCACAGAAAAAGTCTGATGACGTCACGTGGGATACTTCGCCATTCTTCTTGGAGGGCCTGGATCAGTCGGTTGGCTGGAGGATGTGGTCGCCGTCGAACAACACGATCCATGACATCCCAGACACGACAACACGTTGACGTTGATGACTGTGAGGAAGTTCTGTACGATTCGGGCTGTATGGGGTCTGGCGTCGTCATGCGGAGAAAGGACACCACGTGACCTGTTGAAGAAATGGAAGATAATCGGACGAAGAATGCCATCCATGTCAAATTTCCGTTAACGATGACCAGTGGTGAAATCTCCTGCCCACAAATCCCTCCACACACCACAACCCCCACATAACCGGCACGACCTCCTGAACGCAACATCCCGCCTTTCGTTCTCCCCTTCGCTGGTAAACACGCTATCTTCCGTCAGCTCTGAACAGGCTTTCATCAGTGAAGAAGACCCGCTGCCAACGACGTACAGTCTGGGCCCATCTCAATCTCTGACGACGATGTTGCGCTGTCCCCTGTAAGGTATATAAGCCCTACTTCCTTGATCCCTGAGTCGCCTGGCCACTATCTGTCGACTAACCAGATGCCCTAAAAACATTCGTCGCTGATGACGTCACTGGAATCGGTTCCGGAGAAGCAAAGTACGCAAATGCCGATCTTTAATTGGCGTCTGCCTGTTCTTGGCCTGCCTTATGTCTGCCCGGTCTGTCTGTAACGTTGCATCTGGTTAGTTACAGCAACACGAGAGCAACCAAATGTTTCAGCAATGTGGGCATGGGTGGCTCCCATCTGTATCATACCCAGCGCGCGCTCGCTTTGTTCGCCGTCCGAATCATTTATATACCATAATTGCACGTGTAGTTTCGACTGCCCAAGCGGCACGTGCTTCTCGCTTCTTCTTTTTCTTTTTTTAACAAATAATAGACCAAGAGATACCTGGGATTTTACAATTTTATGAATGTGCATCTATACCATGTAATTTCACATGTTTAAAACCATAAGACCGTGGTCTAGTGGTAGAGCATCTGCGTCATAACAAAAGACGTTAAAAGATGGTACTTGTTCTTACCCTGCCTGGCGCTTGGCATTGAGGTGCTTAAACAAGGACTGGTCGGCTCGAAGTCAGTATATTGTGTCTGGGTTATTAATGTTAAACGGTGGCATGATATCACTCACTCACTCACTCACTCACTCACTCACGCACGCACGCACGCACGCACGCACGCACTCACGCACTCACTCACTCACTCACTCACCCAGTGAACCTTTCCAAGTTGCCATTGGCTGGTTTCTGTTGTTCTTCTTCAACTGGAATACTATCCATGAGCTGTGTATCGTCAGCATAGAAATGGTAAGGAATGCTGGAGGTGTTGATGAGACCTCCTTTGTGTTTATTGTGATGTAATCGAACAAGCGCATTTGAATAAGCCACGGTCCGAAAGTTTAAGTTTTGCGACTGAGTAGAGTGCGTGGGATTTACGACGCTTTTAGCAGTATTCCGGCAACCTCATGCTGACACCAAGAATGTGATTCAAGCACTGCACCTATGTGCGGAATTGAACCCAGGTCTTCAGTTGACGAGGAAAATCATGATGGATTCCTTCGAAGCAACTACCAAGAAATGGCCAAACGAGAAGAGGAACCTGTTGGATGACTTTCAGAGTGGGTTAAGTCAGTTCGTGATGTTGTCATTGGTAGAACGCACAAACCGAAGAAGCGATAACAGAAAGTCTGGCTGCGCTACATGAAAACATGCAGTTGTTTCCACCGACAAGGCCTCAAATAACATAACCATAATATGTATTTGTCATGTCAAAACGTACAACCGGTACAAACAACAGGACCAGTTCATATGTTTCCGATACATTGCTTTAATGTAAACATAAACATTTACAAAAGAATGTATATTGCACAAAATGTGAATCTTTAAACAAGTATTTTAGCTAAAATGGATAGAATTTTCATATAAATGCCCGCGTGTTAACAGAAATCTGAGGGCAACTGTAACTGGATAGCAGTCCGTTTTCCCCCAACGAAGGGCTGCTCAGCAATCTATTCCATTGCTATGTGACGTCATATGACGTCATCCTATATTATGTTCTATGACGTTGTTATTTGTAACTCAGTGAGCTCCGTTGTAACCTGTTTTTCTCTATACTTTTTATTAATAAAGTCACGAACGTTGTTCTTTAAACAAGTTCATTTGGCCAATGAGTTTAACTTTAGTTTCAGGTATATCAATGAGCTGATATCGTTCAATAACCATCAAATAGCTAATTCCCTTCCACTAACATGCCCACTTGAACTAGAAATAAAGGAGACCATATTTAGATCTACATGTATGCATGGAGATTCATAGAGTGACAAACCACTCTCCATAAGACTGTATGACAAGAGGGATGACTTCAACTTTACAATAGTTAACTTTCCTTTCATCCTTATATTCCTGCAGTTCCAGCTTTTGGTGTCTACATTTCACAATTTTTGAGGTAAAATCGAGCATGCTCTTTCAACCAAGATCTCAAAAAGCGTTGTACGACTCTTGCTCAGAAGTTGTTTGATCAAGGTTACAACACTTAAGGCCTCAGAAGAGCTTTCAATAAGTTTTATGGTAGACATGTGAAGGACATTTCCAAATGTGACGCATCGATGACAAAAATGATGCAGGCTACGCTCACCTTTTCGCGAACACATGGTATCATCACTACTTGATAGTGACTCATAAACACATGCTCATTAATCGTACAATCGACTCTGCTTTCACCAGACATTTCTATTTAATATGGAAAAAGGTTTTGTCGCTTTTATTTATTGACATTTACAAATGATATCGGCAACAGAGTGACTGAGTCAGTCAGTAAGTCTGTGAGTCAGTCAGAGACTGGTTTATGAGTCAGTCAGTCAGTCAGTCAGTCAAATCTTAAACTCATTGTGCTTCATTCCACTGAAAAGAAGACATATCTCGTTTGATTTTACATTATTCAGAACATCTAGATTGTGTTCAAATGCTAAATAAATCTCTAGCGAGGGTCATTCTGCAGAATATCTCTGAGACATGGCTTTTTTAGAATATCCCTGGGCCGGAGGTACTTTCCATAGAATATCCCCGGTACAAAGGGCTATATTCTGGACAAGGTTCTGCTCAGAGGTTATTCTACGTCATGAAGGCTCCGTAAAACAATAGGATGACGTCACTAGTGGTTTCGGACGCTATTTAGAATCTCACCCGAGTGTCGTTTATATCAAATATAACGACACGATTCGATAAAGGTTTAAACCTCAGTGGCTTTTTTAAATGTTAATATATTGGATGTATTTGATGTCAAAAGACACGAGTGTGGGGATTCTATTTATCATCCAAAATCATTGTTCCAAATGATTCACCTTGTAAACATTACTAACCAGTGTTGTGAGTGTGACAAGTACAGCTTCAGTGGCAGCTTCGTGGTAACCGATGACGTCACAATGGTGATTCAATTTCACTGTACTGATATCTCCCAGGATGATTTAAAGCTATGTTTATAGTTTTGAATTATTTGTATTTGCCAAGCCGTTCGATTTTTATCATCATGGGTCTGTCTGTCCGTATTTCTTTCCGGAGCATAATTTGAAAACCGTCAAAGAGTTTTCACTAAACTTGGTACATGTATTAACCATGGCTGAGGTAGTGTATTTTGCTATTGTGGGGCCTTTGGGATTTATCATCTTCTGATGACTCGTGCTTGTTTGGTGAGATCAATAGAAAGACCCTACCACAAACAATCAGAAACCAAGCTAACTGTAGAATTCTGACAATGACTATGAACATGTTTCCTATGTT